ACCCCCCCTTCGCCACCCCAAAAGCCGCCCCCCCCAATTGACGCTCACCCGCGCTCGCCCTTTGGTCCGGGGAAGCGGAGGCGTGGGAAAATCCCCGCCCGAATTCCCACGAGTGGAGGGAGGGGCCGGAAGTGGGGAGGAGGAGGAGGAACAGCGCCGTAGGGCCTGCCTTTCCTTCCTCTCTATCCCTCTCTCTCTGCTCCTCGCCCGCCAGAAGTCTCTCTCTAGGAAGCACGACTCGTTGGCTTTAACTCTTCAGAGGAAGGGAGCCTGGTTAGGCTTCCTGCTCGATCCCCAGCGCTTCATTTTCAGAGCCCGAGGCGTCGAAAGCCTCGAGACTCTGGTTCTTCCCTCTGCGGCTTCGGACTACAAACCCCATCATGCGCCCCAGCCAACCCTGTCCACTGGGGTTTGTAGTCCCTAAAATGTCGAAAAGTCACAAGACTATTGCTTGTCTTCTGTTTTATTTTACTTTTATATATACCGGCCTCTTGGCACCCTGCCCGAATTCTGGGTGGAAATAAAGAGATCGCAATAAATATACCAGTAAAGCGATTTTAGAAATTCACAAATATCATAAAAGCGGGCACTTAAAGGGAAAGGTTATCTCAGCCACGGCAGGACGGTGTGGAGTTCCCACAGTATACATGGAAATCATGTTGGGGGAACCTCTGGGGGCACCACAATTTTTTAATTTTTGCCTAAACATTTTTTTCAATTTCTATGAATTCCATTTGGAACTTCACCTCTTTTGAATAAGGCCCTCCAAAGATTCATTCATCGTTTGGTGCAACGAGGCCTCGTCTCTTCTTTTGGAGATGATGGGTCTCTTATAGGGGGAAGCCATGTAAACCCCTAAAAGACTGGTGGGTGGATTCTGGGATTTATAGTCCAAAAGAGAGGGAGAGGGATTGAGAGAGAGAGAGAGAGGGAAGAACCTTTCCATCATTTCCTAGGCATGAATGTTCATGGAGAGAAGATGTCCTCATTTCCACTTGAAATGACTTTAATAGGCAGGCGACAGTCACTGCAAAAGAGAGAGGGACCTCCAGACCTTGACCAAGGCCGGCTCATTTTCACCGCCATCTTTTTTTGGTCTTCAAAGTATCTCAGAGGCCTGAGTGGGAATCTTTGCCCGATGCCTTGCCAAGCCGTGCCGGACCAGAGGAGATGGCGATGGGCGGGTTCCCCAGAGGCTCTGAGCCGGCCGGCATAAGTACCGTTTTTCCCCAAAAATAAAAACGGGTCTTTTACTAATTTTTGCTCCAAAAAATTGCCTTAGGGCTTATTTTCAGGGGATTTTTTTTAATTTTACAGTCCTGTCATCTTCTTCTGGTTGCTGCACAAGGGTTGGGGGCAGGGTTTCACTTAACCAGGGCTTATTTTGGGGGGTAGAGCTTATTTTCAGGGAAACAGGGTATGTGTGTATGTGGTATGCTTTGAGCTTTGTACTTAAGCATGGAAATGCCCACTATTCAGCCACTTTGTGTTTCATTGCTTCTATCTGCCTCCCGCCTTTCTCCACGGAGTTTGAGGGGAGATAGGCGCAGTCCAGAAACACAAGCATGCAGACCCCACCGTATTTCTCTCCTTCTTCTTGCCTTCCTTCAGCCTGTTTCTACTTTCAGGAACGAAGAAGCTGCCCGGTGGCTATTTGGGAGTCATAGCCCTTTCTGGGAGTGGTAGTCTCACTGCCAATTCAACTATATATAGAGTGCTTACCAAATAATTTTATTTTCTTCTCTCTCTAACAGCAGGAAACAAAGGCCAGAGCAGCTGACGGGTGGAAGCAAATTTATTTATTTATTTACTTAAAATATTTCTAACCCATCTTTCTCTTTAAAAAAGGACCCAAGGTACAACAGTCCATTTTAAAAAAACCCAATTGGTGCCTATTACACAGGGGATGCTTGCTTGTAGAGAAGGGTCCTCACCGTTTGTCTCTGAGCCTGGATGCCCAGGTTTTGACTGTGACCATGAGAGCATTTGCACAGTTAAAACATGTGTGTCCATTCCTGGAGAGATCTAATTTGGCCACAGGGAACACATGCCTTGGTTACATGCCGGCTGGATTACTATGATGTGCTCTACCTGGGGCTGCCTCTCGGAAATGGATCACATAACCTGTTATGAAAGCTCCACTGGCTGTTGATCTATATTGTGCACAATCGTGCACGTTCTTCACAGCGTGCTACAGTGTGGCCCGCATCCTCTTCCTAATACGCCCGCTTGAAAGCGCTCCACAGGAGAACTCGGTGCAGAGATGCAATGGGGGCAGAAAGGAAGGACTTCTTTGCTGCCGACGGGGTCTTGCCCGTGTTCACTTGGATTCACTCCCATGTTTTCTGCCATCACCATTCCAATCTCCATTGGCTTCGGCACTGCCAGCTGCCTCTTGGACTCCACTTTGCAGGAGGTGATGCTGCCGCAAGGATACAGCCAAGGGCAAAGGTAACAGAGGAACGTAAGTCCTGGCTCCTCAGACAGGCCTTCCGTCCTGTCAATACCTATTTTAAAGAGTGTTGTTAGCCGCCCAGAGTAGACTTTGGTCTAAATGGAAATTTAAAAAATGAAATGAAAACATTTAGTTCAATAAACCATCCTAAAAGTATAATAATTCTAGTGACTGATTTTTTTTATAGATTCTTTCTTTTGCATTCTTAGCTAACCAATTACATCTCAGGATATCAATGCTTTACAATCACAAGAAATCAACATTCCAAAAAACCAACAGATATATTTATCTAAACTTAACTGTACAATCATATTATAATTCATATATGCCTAATATCTCTATGTGAGTGCCTTATAATCTCCAATATAGTGTTCATTCTAATATACATCTATGCATACATATCAATGTTTCAAATGTTATCAGCATTTAAGAAGACAGAGTTTACTTAATCATATTACAATTCATATATACTTCATTTCTCTAAGTAAGTGCCTTACAATCAACAATTTCTAATACAGTGGTGCCCCGCATAGCGACGTTAATCCGTTCAGGAAAAAACGTCGCTATCCAGATTCCTTGCTATGCGGGGCAAAAAACCCCATAGGAACGCATTAAAACACGTTTAATGCGTTCCTGTGGGGGAAAAAACTCACCTTTAAGCGAAAATCCTCCATCCGGCCGCTATTTTCGGTGCCCAGTAAGCGAGGCAACACAGCGGGCAGCCATGTGGAACCGCCAATCAGCTGTGCTTCTGCGCTGGCTCCGAGGGGAGAGAGAGCCAGCGCCGAAGCACAGCTCATCAGCGGGGGTTTGCAAAGATCGCGGGGAAGCCAGCAAACCCCGCTTCGTCTCTCTCTCTCTCTCTCTCCACCCCTCGCAACTCCAGCCTGGGCAGGGAGACTGAGGCACCGCGCCGCAATGGCCAGAGTCGGGGGGACTCATAGAAGCTGAGGATGTTGGCTCGTGGAGCAGAGCACGGGGCGAGGGGGCGGCCTCCCTCTGGGGCCCCTCCGAACCCCGGGATGCCAGGATGCCGGGACTCTCGGCATGGGCAGAAGAGACGGGGGGGCGTCCAAGCTTGGAGGGGGGTGGAGGAGCCCCCTCTTCCCCTGTGGGGGCCCAGCGCTCCTGTCCCGTTGACCTGGGTTGCTCCGCCCGCCCACCTGGCTCACCCACCCACTCACCGGGGCCCCTCCGTCCCTGGATCCCTCCCTCTGTCCCGCCGGGCTTACCAGGCCAGAGGAGCAGCTTGTTGTGGGCCTTGGCCTGGGAGCCGGAGTCGCCAGCCAGGAGGGTGGAGGTGGTGCCGTAGGGCAGCGGCTCACCCAGGCAGGTGCGCTCCTGCAGGAGTTCACAGGGTGCAGCGTGCCAGCACCACTCCCCGCCCACTGCAGCCAGTTCAGCGGCCGTGAGGGGAGGAGCCCCCCGAAGCCGAGGCCGAAGCACAGCAGCCCAGCGCTCCCATCCCATCGACCTGGTTGCTCCGCCTGCCCGCCTGGCTCACCCACCCACCCATCGGGCCCCTCCATCCCTGCATCCCTCCCTCCGTCCCACCAGGCTTACTGGACCAGAGGAGCAGCTTGTCGCAGGCCTCGGCCTGGGAGCCGGAGTTGCTGGCCAGGAGGGTGGAGGTGGCGCCGTAGGGCAGCGGCTCCGCCCAGGCAGGCGCACTCCTCCAGGGGTTCGCAGGGCGTGGCGTGCCGGCACCACTCCCCACCCGCCCCGGCCCATTCAGCAGCTGCGAGGGGGGAGCCCCCGGACACCCAGGCCAAGGCTGAAGCACAGCAGCCTGAGCCCCAGGCCCAGCCCGACCAGCCGCCCACCCTGGCCATCACGCCCCACCATGTGCCATGCGCCTAGGGCACGCCCAGCAGGGCCACCACCGCCACCTCCGCTCTCTGTCCCGGGAGCCAGGCCTCTGAGGGGGCGGCCGTGCCAGCCAGCAGCGGCACCCTCCC